CACTCGGGGCACGGGACGTGGTCTCCTCGCAGGCAACATGGGCAAGAGCACGGTACTCTCTCAAAGTGCCGTGAGGATGCAGAAAGAGAGCACACAGGAAAACCCGAGGCTCTGGCTCGATATGCATCTAGAAACCGCAAGGAAGATTACTGTCCCGTGCAAAGAACTAAAAACGTTCCCCATGTGGAACGCCCACATCACGTGAGTGGCTGAGCCTGGGCAGCCGCAGGGGAACACATTCGCTTTTTACCTTCCATCCTTCGTAACTGACACACAGACTGCTGGCTCCCTTCCCTCCCCAAAATCTACTCTTTTCTTCCATTCTTCCATAGCAGCTGGCACTCCATCGCTGCCAGGCCACTTTGCACTTCTCAGCTTCCCTTGCAGCTACCGTGACGGGATTAAGCCGTCGTGAAGGGAATGTGTGCAGAAAGGATGCGAGCCCCTTCCAAGCCTGGCCTATGACACCCCCCAGATGTTCTCCTCCATGCTCCTCCGCCCCCCCCCCCCCCCCCCCCCCCCCCCCCCCCCCCCGCCATGGGGCTGGCGCGGAGATGCTGACAACCAGAGATCTTAGGTGCTCCGAAGACAGGGGATTGCCACCAGCCGGCGCACCACAGCGGCGCCCATTCAACCTTTAACACCCCCTGGAGGCTGTTCCGGAAGGCATTTCTATGCTGTATGAGCCACTGCGGTTGGAGAATCCTTCTTTTTGTTAGAGCAGTCTGGCCTACCGGATTAGGACAAAATTCTTCTATCCTATTTGAATTTTAAGATATAGATGCAATGCTTTTGCCATTTAAAAACGATGTCAATGGGGGCGCCTGGGTGGCTTAGTCGGTTAAGCGTTCGACTTTCGCTTAGGTCATGATCTCATGGTTCGTGGGTTCGAGCCCCGCGTCGGGCTCTGTGCTGACTGCCAGCTCAGAGCCTGGAGCCTGTTTCAGTCTGTGACTCCCTCTCTCTCTGACCCTCCCCTGCTCACGCTCTCTCTCTCTCCTAGAAATAAATAAAACATTAAAAAAAAAATTTTAAAACGATGTCAATGGGTTTGCACGTTCTTTCTTTCTTTAAATAAGGCACGCATGGAGAATATCTGCATCCTTCCCCACCATCTTCAAACCTTTCTCTCTAATTCATGCTGCGGGCTAGCAAGACATACCTCCTCAAGCACATCCCCGTGTTGTGTCCATCTCACCCCGAGAGCTTTTTCTTTTAATGTTTATTTTTGAGAGAGAGAGAGACAGAATCCGAAGCAGGCTCTGGGCTCCGAGCTATCAGCACAGAGCCCGATGTGGGGCTCAAACTCACAAAACACAAGATCATGACCTGAGCTTAAGTCGGCGCTTAACCGATTGAGCCACCCAGGCGCCCTGCACCCTGAGGGCTTTTAATGGCCACCCATTACCCACAGATTAAGGGATATATATGCGTACTCCCTCAGTCAGCCAACACTTAACCAAAAACCTGCTATGGGCCAGGTGCCTATCAGCAGTAAGGATACTAGGGTGAACTGAGGAACCTGGTCCCTGGTTCTAGGGTTATAATGAGGGTGGGGGTTTCTCCCAGAAACATACAGTTCTATACAATGAGATAAATATGTGACATGACCCAAGAATACACCCAGGAGGCCAATAAAGCCGCCCCTCACAGCCCAGACTTAGCACAGCACAAAAAGCCTTCAGGATCTACCCCAAGCCCACCTGTGCCCTCCTACCGACACTCCCCCCTCCATCTCCAAAGAGCTGTGCCCTTCCTGAAGGAGCCAAGCATTCTCACTCTTCCACACCCGATGCCTTCCCACAAGTGTGCATTTCCTGGAATGCTCTTCCATCCCTTCTTTCAAAATTCTAATTATCCTCAAGGCTCAGCTCAAATGTCACCTCCTCAGCAAAATCAACCCCAACCCCAAGTCAAAATTAATCATCCTCTTCCTTGCTTCGTACCAGCACTTGGTTTCTCTGTCAGGTATTTCATCCAGTCTTATTGTTAGCCGTTTCATTATTTGTCCATCCACCCGCACCAACCACTCCATGAGGCATCTATCTGGGACGTTCTGTGGGCTCTAATGGGTATTCGAGAAATGCTGTAGTTGGATGGATGGACAAGTAGGGTCAGACACAGGCAAGAGAAGTGAAAATGTGTTCTGTGTACTTGGGAGGATTCTGATGTGATCACGGAGAGGCAAACGCAGGAAAATTTCATGGAGGAAGCAAGTTTTGGGGGGAAAAGAGGATACACAGGTGAGGGGGAGAAGCAGGAAAGACATTCTTAGGCCATGGGAAATAGAAAGGCCAGAAGGGTGGGGGGGTACCTGGGTGGCTCAGTTGGTTAAGCGTCTGACTTCAGCTCAGGTTATGATCTCTAGTTCGAGCCCCTTGTCAGGCTCTGTGCTGACAGCTCAGAGCCTGGAGCCTGCTTTGGATTCTGTGTGTGTGTGTCTGTCTGTCTCTCTCTCTCTCTCCTCTCTCTCTCTGTCCCTCCCCTGCTCATATTCTGTATCTGTCTCTCAAAAATAATGTTAAAAATTTTTTTTAAATAAAAGAAAAAAAAGGCCAGAAGGTTCACATACATTCTGTGTAAAGGATAGCAAACACTACCTAGAATGAAGTGTTTGATTCAGAGAGAAAATCGAAGGGAAAATCAAGGGGCCTAGCAGCCTTAGAAGAAAAATCAGAAGGAGCCAATGAGCAAAGGTGGGACCCCCCAGCAATGATCCTTCTGGAAAATGATGAACTAAGAAGGGAGGCTGGAGGAAAAGGTCAACCAGGAAGATGTCAGAAGTTATCTGTGCAGGGAACTATCAGAACGGGGCTGGACAGCAGCTGTAGAAACACAAAGACTGGGAAGAAGGTGGAGGCTGGGCTGGGGGTTTTCAGAAAAGGACTGTGTGAACACAGAGGTCAAAAGAGAGCAGTGACGGCAAGATTATGCCCAGGATGCAACATAAGAAGAAAGATGAGCTTCTTCAACGACATATTAAGTTTCAGGAGCCAGGATAGCATGGAGGGCTTCCCAGAGGTCACAGTGAAGCCACAGAGAATGAGGTGCTGCAGGGCAGAGCTGTCATCTGGAATACCCAGCTAAGGGGCTGTTAGAGGAAAAGGCGCCAGCTGGTGACACCACAGACATTCATGTGTAGTTAACACAAAACGCCCAATCAGCACAGGATACGCGGGACACATACAACCAAGGCTTCGCCCATTTCCATTTTTGCTGGTGCTGACCTCTCTTCGCCCCCTTTCCCTTTCTCTCTCTTGCCATCGTTACCCAAGGGCCTTCTTTACACACTTCCACCTGAGCCCACTGTCTGAGCTGGTGCACGGGCTGTAAACTGCACAACTCTAGGGGGAGTCGTTTACACTGGCTACAAAGTGAAGAGCGGCTCCTAGAGTTGTGCAGTGCGCAATCTGTGCAACCATGGGCCACAGCTTGGTTTGATCCCGACACATTAGCCGATTAACAGGTATGGACTATCACAACCGAGAACTTCAAGCGTCCCCATGTGAAAGGGAGAGCCCCAGGATCCAAGACCATACGAGACAGGCTACAAAACTGAGTGAAAAGATCTGGAAGCTTTCTGCAAACGGTTGCAGCTAAAGCAGTATTGCTGGACGAGTTCTCTCTGGGAGTGGATTATACAAAAAGCCTTCAAAGGTAAAGAAAGAAAAGCCAGTAGCAGCTAGAAAGGCTGGCCCACCAGCAGCAGGAGTCATGGGGGTTGGGACAGTGTGGGCCCTGGTGTCAGCAGAAAAGGAGTGGCATGGAAGGCTTCCACTGGGACCTCGGGCTGTAAGTGCAGAGTAGTCATTCGCCCTGTGTGCAGCTGGGGCCTGGCCGGGACAAACATCATACCGCAGGCATTCTGCAAATGATTCAGATCTGCCTCCTCTAGGGGTTTGGAAGGGAACCCTGGATAGGGTCGAAAGCCTCCTTCTGTTTTGGTTGACATACACCAAAGGGATCCGAGAGTATTAAAGAATATCAAAGCACTGGGGTCAGAACCCCGGGAACTCGGCGGTCACTTAACAAACATATGTATTTCTACGGCTGCTGACTTCACGGTTATGTTAAATAACCATATGATGGTAATCATGTGGATCTACACGAAGATGGTGTCTGTGTGGATGGGGTAAGAGGAAAATGGAGAGAACACACACACGCCAAAGATTCCTTGGGTTGGGGGAAGGCTCTGGGCCACGTTAGCCAGAGGCACCGAGGTAGGTTCGGGGAGGGTGGAAGATGGGGGACAGGAAAGGAAAGAAAAGTAACAGGTAGGAAAAGTTGGAGAAGCCAGGCTCCCACGTCTTTGTGTGCAAATGTGCTGCCAGGCAGCTTAAAGAAAAGCCGAAGGAAAAGACTGAGGCAGAACACCGAGCCACCGCCACCACGGCGAAGGACGCTCACACCGATTTTTCCTGTAGCGCTCTGGGCCACCCCGTGACCTTCGTCGAAGGAAGTTGGCGGATCCTCTGCCTTCCCTGGAAAGGCAACTCAGCGTGGGCTGGCATGTGCCAGGGGCGACTCGGCCCGTCTCGCCTATGGCGGGGCACATCAAAGGCGCATATTTCCGCGCCGCCCCCCCCCCCGCCTCTGCACCCCCCCTCCCCCCCGCTGGGGACGCGGCCGGGGACCGCCCGCACCTTCAGGGCCGCGAGTTCAAGGTGAGCCGCCTCCCGTCGGCCAACAGGTAGGGAGGGCTGGGGAGGTGCGGGAGAGGGGGTGGGGGCGGGGAGGGAGGGAAGCCGGCCGCGGGCCACTCCCCCCCGCACAGGTGGGGCGAGGCGCGGCCTGGCCCGGGCGGCCCGGCCGGATTCGCGCCCCGGCTCCGGGCGGCTCGGCGCCGGTCCCCGCCGGCCCCGCGCCGCCCGCCGAGACCCCGCCGCCTCTCCCGGGAGCCGCCCGGCACCTCGGCGTCCCAGGCCGCGCGCCGCAGCTGCGCCCCGCCGAGCCTCCCTCGGGGGCCCCCCGCGCCCCGCCGAGCCCCCGCGCGCACTCACCCAGCCCCAGGAGCGCCAGCAGCAGCGGCCTCGGCGCCGGGCGCCCCATGCTCGCCGGGCGGGAGCGGCTCTCCCCCGCCTCCTGCGTCCGCGCCGCCTCTCCTCCTCCTCCTCCTCCAGCTCCGGCTGCTCCAGAGTCCGCGCTCCCCCGCCCGGGCCGCGCGCCTGCTCCGCTCTCCTCGCGAGCCGAGAAATCCCAGCGCTGAGCCGGGCGTGCGCCCCTCGCTCCGCGCCGCCCGCCCCCCCCCCCCCCCCCCCCC